GGATCTTCCAGTACACTGCAGTGATAAACTAAACATAAGATGATAAGAAAAAGGATTCATGTAGCCGAAATCAAATTTTCAGCAAAGCCAACATAACGAATTTGTTTTGTTCATTATTATTTTCTTTAGGAGGGGGAAGACGGGAAGAAGGTCGTGATTTTACCAATGGTATTTCTCTTTCAAATTTAGCTTTTCGGATCACAAGAAACTGAAACTAGCAAACATACCACAGGATTGAAAACTGAATAAGTGAATATCAAATGTTCCTATTCTTTCTTTCTGCTGTATACGTTCTCTCCCAAGTACAAAACTGTAAAATAATTTTACACATAAACCCAAAACTTTTACACACTTTTTAATTATACATTTTCCAGACGAGAAAAATGAAGAAGAAAAAAGGATTCACTATTACAAAATCTATTTTCTCAAAAGATGGGGCTCAAACAATCTCTAACTGAATAGCAGATATAATGGACAAAGTAAATATAGATAACATAATTAGTAGAAATTTAAAGGAAGAAAACAATTTTAGTCTTCATTTCCACAACAACAACATGTATAATTCAATATCTATAATTTATACAAACACAGAATCAATTAACATTCATGGTTATGTCCATATTCATAATGAATTCATATATCAAACTTTGGAATTGGCAAATTTATAACCTGATGTTGCCATATGGTTATATATAATCCCAATTTCTTCCATACTCTCTTATGCTCGACTCTCGATATAATTAACTGCAAATGATATCCACGATCGGAGCAGGCTGACTAGTTTGCAACTCTGCACAATGCAGGCAACTGGAAACGAGCAATGGAGTAATATGACAGAAGAACTGGAATGGCTGCAGTGGTACATACAAGATGAGTTTGGTACAAAGGACTAAACTGAACAAGATTTTAACTCTTTTTTTCCCTTTCTCCTGCAAAATCTACAATGTTGTTCTTGCAATATCATCAAAATCGAGCCCTTTTTGGAGCTTCCCAGATGAAATCTGCTCATAAAGCCATCTATCAGTTCCTTATAAATTCATATACATCTATCCAAGTAAAGCAACACATAATGATAACAGACTAAGAAAATCGTCCAGACAGATAATACAGGAGATGGAATAGATAAGAAACAACAAAATTTAGAGAATATAACTTGTCTATGATCTATAACTTGTGGAAACAATTAGTTGAATTAAAGCAAACCAAAAGCTTTGCAGTAAATTGAATTCAAAAGGCAAACAAAAATGAGAAAGAAGAGACCATATATTTAACAAATAACAAGAAAATTACAGTGTGAAGGTAAAGAACTCAAGAACACATAAAAGAACATTCAACTATTAACCTCCAATTTAGAAATAATAATTGACCTTGGAGATCACGTCCACAATATGTCTTCCACTCTGAAGATCCGGATCCTGACCGGCCAAGCAATCCCTTGAGGTTTCAAAAGAAGACAACGACAATTGCTTAGAAACGACACCCACATCAAAATAAATCAACCCTGAGCTCGGAATATCGACTCGAATTTCCTTAACCTGAAACCATAAGAACAAATCCTGCGCAGAAATCCCGGTCATTCCATCGATCTGCCCGTAACGCAAGATGCCCGAAATGTTCCGATCGTAGTGCAATTCATTTTCAAACTTGGAATTGCAAGATCGATCCAAATGAACCTCGAATTTTCCAGAAGTTTCTTCCAGTGTGAAGTTTGTTACCCCTTTCGGAAGTAAGCCCATGGGCAGGCCGTGTTGTTTGAGCACTTCGTATATAGAAGATTTTTCGGATGATACTACAGATAACAGAAGTATGAAGAAAAATTGGCGAACAGGAAGCATGGCGGATATATATAATATACGGATTGTAGCTTGAGGGATACGAGTATTTTGGGTTCAAAACTCATTATTTAGGTTTTTTCTACATATTTATTTTCAATAACACATTTACGCAATAAAATATTCATAATATATAAGTCCAAATTTTTTCTTATTTTTTAATCACACATTCTCCAAAAATTCAATATTCAAAACAACATTACCAAAGATGAGCTTATTTATATTTTATCATGATTACATGAAAACAAAATTGTAAATTTTTAATATTATTTATTTTATATTGAATATTTTAATTTTAAAAATATATAGTAATTAAAAAATAAGGAAAAACAAAAAATGAATGTTAGGAAAAGTGAAGTAGAGAATTTGTCATAATGTATATTAAAAATAAGGAATTTTTTAGAGATATTTTTATATTGGTATTGAAAATAAATAAAGACAAAATGTCAACCAGTAAAAATTAAAATTATGTATCGATTTGTGTTTCATAAAAAGTAAAATAATGTTATTTGTACATAGTGAAAGTCATCCACATGTGATGTAATAGATGATGAGATCAATTAAATGTGTAAATATGTGATTCATCTTATTGATCTTATCATTTAATGTCACGTCATATGTAATCATCCCAATTTTTATAACAATAATGCTAGGCGGATAGGGGCAAATGACAGAGTGTTGACAGGGATTCAAAAAATTGTGACGTGGCAGCATTTGTTTGAAAAAAAAAATGTTTTACAAAAAGTTAACATGTGAAGCCAAAGGGAGAAATCACCCATGAAAAAAAAATGTTTTACAAAATGTTTTAGAGTTTAAGAGGGAAATGGAAGCATGAAAACAGATTGATGGGGGGATGATGCCCTCTGGTGGCAGCAGGATTCCGATAAGAATGATCAATTATTGGTGGTGGATTAGGTCGCGACATTAAAGTTTTGAGGGTCAGAACATCTTCTGAATCTCTAAGAAGTATTAAGCTAAAATTAATAGGCTATTCAAAGAGATTTAAGAATTTGATTTTAAGACCCTCCATAGCACCCTGTTTGTCTCTCATTATTTAATTTTTTTTATATATTTATTTTCAACCATACATCCACACAATAAAATATTCAATATATAAATATGTTATAAAAGTAAAGAAAAGATAAGAAAGTAGAGAGAAGTCAATAGACTTATATGTATTTTATTAAGAATCAAAACCCTATATTTATATGACAGAATTAGGGATACAACAATAATTATTTCTAGAATTGTATGGGTATAATTGTCATTTACTTTTAAATCTTAATAAACTTTTCTTTTACAACACTCCCCCTCGAATGACACATTACAAAATATCTACCTCATTAAAACCTTGTTTGATAAAAACTCAATGGAAAAAAAAATCAAAACGAAAGAAAAAGAATACAATTATTTTGGAGTAAAATAAATGCTACCTCATTAAAATCTTACTAAGAAAATTCAGTGGGACAAAACATAAGCGAAGGTAAAAAGAGTATAGCTACTCTCCTGATGTTGATCACTGAAGATCTTTGAATCAACGCATTCCAATCTCATGAACTAATTTCTTGAATATAGATGTTGGCAGTGCTTTTGTGAATAAATTGGTCACATTGTCACTTGAGTATTTGTTGGATATCAATGTCATTATTCTTTTGAAACTCGTATTTATGAAAGAATTTTGGAAAAATATGCTTTGTCCTGTCACCTTTGATATAGCTTCCTCTGAATTGTGTAATGCAAGTTGCATTGTCTTTATACAAAATTGTTGGACTATTCTTTGTTGAAGTTAATCTGCATGATGCTTGGATATGATAGGTCATGTTTCTCAACCACACACATTCTCAACCTATTTCATGGATTGCAATAATTTCAGAATGATTTGAGAATGTAGCTTTCAAAAATTGTTTCATAGATCTCCATGATATAACCGTTCATCCACGTGTAAACACATAACATGTTTGTGATTTAGTTTTATGTGGGTCGGATAGATATCCTACATCTGCATATCCCACTAAAACAGATCCCGACTTTTGAAAATAAAATAATCACAAATCAATAGTACTATTTAGGTAATGAAAAATATGTTTAACACCATTTCAATGTCTTTGAGTTGGTGTAGAGTTATAGCTTGCAAGGAGAATTACAAAAAAAGTCATGTTAGGTCGAACGCAATTCCCAAGATAAGTTAATGCTCCAATTGCAATAAGATATGGTATTTCAGGACCAAGAACTTTTTCTCCCTCTACAAGTGGATGAAAATGATCATTTTTCACATCAAGTGATCGAATAACCATAGGTGATGCCAATGAATGTTCATTATCCATATAAAAACGTTTTAAAACTTTTTTGTATACGTAGATTGGTAAATAAGTAATCCATCTGAGAAATATTCAATCTGCAATCCAAAACAAAATTTGGTCTTTCCCAAATCCTTAATTTCAAATTCATTATTCAAATAATCAGTAGTTTTGTTGAGCTCTTCGGGAGTTCCAATTAAATTTAAATTATCAACATAAACTGCTACAATTGAAAATCCAATATCTTTTTTTTTTTTTTTTTTTTTTTCGAAAAAATCTTTGCAACTTAATTGAGAACATAGTTCTCGGCATTTATTACTTGTTCCTGGTACCTTAATTCCTTTAGGGGCTTTCATATATATGTCACTATCAAGTGAACCATACAAATATGTAGTTACTATATCCATAAGGCGTATATCAAACTTTTGTGACACAATCAAACTAATTGAGAATCTAAAAGTGAAGGTGTCCATTACGGGAGAATATGTTTTCTCATAATCAATTCCTGGTCTTTGTGAAAAACTTTGAGCTGCAAGTCGGGTTTTGTACCTTGTAATTTCATTATTTTCATTCCTTTTTCGTACAAAAACCCATTTGTATCCAACAAAGATTACATTTTCAAGTGTTCGAACTACAGGTCCAAAAACTTTTCGTTTCTCTAAGGAATTTAATTTCGCCTGTATGGCTTCTTTCCATTCTATTCCATTTTGACAATCTTTAGCCAACTATAGTTCAGGATCCTTATTTTGCATAATATTAAGAGTCATATTGAAGGTGAAAATATTGTCTATAACAACATTATTTCATTCCATAATTTATGAGATAACATATAATTTATTAAATTCTCATTATGTTCGGACACTTGTGATTCTTCAGAAACCATATTTCAATATCTGATTGATTAATATTTTCTAATGTGACTTCTTCCGAAATTTTTGGTTGGTTTTTCTCTTATACTTTTCTTTTTTAAGAAACAGAATCTTTTGAACCAATTGATCGATCACGCTTCTGGTGTATTTGAGATTTATTTGCTACAACAGATTGTCCTACAAGAAGATCAATTTTTGCTGAAATATTTTTCGCTGGTATATATGACTTTGTCACTTTTCTTATGTCAACAAATGCATCAGGTAATTGATTTGCAACTCTTTGCAATGAATAATTTTTTCGACATCTTGCTGACATTGATTGTTGCAGGGGTCAAAGTGAGATATAGTTGCTTCATTCCAAGTAATTTTACCTTATTTTTCAGGATATAGTTTTTTCCATCCCAAAGTTGGGAAAGTCATTTCTTCAAAATGACAATCTGCAAAACGTGCAGTAAATAAATCACCTGATAAAGGCTCAAAATACATAATAATTGATGGTGAATCAAAACTCACATAAATCCTAAGTCTTTGTTTGGAACCCATTTTAGTACGTTGTGGAGGTGAAATAGGGATTTAGACTGCACAACCAAAAACTCGTAGGTGAGAAATATCAGGTTCGCGACCAAATGCCAGTTGCAAAGGTGAATATTAATAATAGGCGGTTGGTCTAATACGAACCAGTGATGCAGCATGTAATATGACATGACCCCAAACAGAAATTGAGATTTTTGTTTTTATAAGTAATGGTCTAGCAATAAGTTGTGGACATTTAATAAACGATTCTGCCAAACCATTTTGTGTATGGACATGCACAACTGAATGTTCAATTACAATCCCAATTGACATACAATAATTATCGAATGCTTGCGATCTAAATTCACCAGCATTGTCAATGCGAATTGTTTTAATTGAGTAATTGAAAATTGCGCTTGTCATTTTATAATTTGAGCAAGTAGAGCAAAGGCTACATTTCTAGGAAAGTAGGCAAACATGTGACCATCTATTATAAGAATCAATTAATACCATAAAATAACAAAATGGTCCATATGGTGAGTGTATTGGCCCACATATATATCCATGAATTCTTTTCAAAAAAGTTGGATATTCAATATTGACCTTTGTAGTTGAAGGTTTACTGACTAACTTGCCTTGCGAACAAGCTACACAGTGATAAACATTAGGTAAAAGAATCTTTTGGTTCTTTTAAGAATGTTCATATGAATTGTTTATTATTCAACGCATCATTATAGCTCCTAAATGTCCAAATCGATCATGCCAAAGTATAAACATTTTTGAGTCAACGAACTTCTGATTCGTGACATTATTTGATTCAACCATTTTTATAAATGTATAATACAGGTAGATAGGAGTGCATAAAATTTTTTTATCTGTTTCTGACTAGATACAAAAGAAGTTATGCAAATATATTCGACATTATTTTCTCGTGTCGTCTCAATATTATATCCATTACAACGAATATTTTTAAAATTAAGCAAATTTCTTCTAGATTTGCTGGAATAAAGTGCATCATCAATATATAATTTTGTATTATTTGATAAAATAAGACAAGCTATTTCAAAGCTGATGTGATCCAGGAGCCGCAAGCAACCAAATCAAGTCCAACGTCAAGCCTGAGGAAAGATCCGTTAAAAGTCGAAGATGGACCTATGACACGAGCGAGGACAAAGCGAGTGAAAGAGGCGATGTGATAACTCGTCAAGACAACCATCGATGAAATCATATTCGGGATTTAAAATGGGACAAGTTTCGTGTTTGGGTCGAAGGCCAAAATCAATTGGATCAACACGATACAAGCAGCCGAAGATGGAGCTGGAGAGAAGAACCATGCGACCGCATGGTTAAAACCGTCCTGCGGTCGCACGAAGCGAGG